TGCCCTGACTTAGATCAGCCCAGAGGTTGTTTCAGTGTTCAATCTGTGAGTTAGCCATGCCCTGACTTAGATCAGCCCAGAGGTTGTTTCAGGGTTCAATCTGTGAGTTAGCCATGCCCTTACTTAGATCAGCCCAGAGGTTGTTTCAGGGTTCTATCTGTGAGTTAACTGTGCCCTGACTTATAGATTAACCCATAGGCTGTTTAAGGGTTTAATCAGTGAGTTAACTGTACCCTGTTTCAAGGATAATAACACTCATAGTAGGGGATAAGGATCTAAAACCAATGCTCTCTGAAATCATTTCCTTTACGTTCTTCAGGCAGAGTTTCACATGAAAGGTAATTTTAACCCGTCGTTAAAGAAAAAGAAGAAAAATAAAAAGAAGAAAAAGCCAGGGAAAGGACAAGAAAAGTAAAGATTAAATATATGCTTGAATTTTTTTGTATGTTTGTTATTTTGTTTGTTTGTTTGTTTGTTTGTTTTTTGTTTTTTTTGTTTTGTTTTTTTGTTTTGTTTTTTTTGTCTCTACATCGAACTGGCCATTTTGACAGCCATCCATTTCCCCCTATTTCTTCCCTTTTATTCGTTTGTTCATTCATAATGTAGCTGCGTATTTTTGCGTGATTTTTCCATTTACTTGTCTTATGGACAATTTTGGCGTCAAATACAAAGATTGGCATTTTTTYATTCGTGCGTTGGGGGCGCGTAAGTTGGTTCTTTCCTCATTCGTGCATTYGTTTTTTGCTTTCGTGGGCGCTTGCGTGTTGCTTCGTTCATTGGATGATCAATATTCGTTTTCTCTTAMTATTTTTTTTCAGACTTTTAGACTGGGTTGATAGAGATGTTAGAAAACCTAAAAATGAACGGGTCGTTATAATAAAAAATATGTTTGACCCTAAAGTCTTCGAGGTAAGTAGTTTCCCTGTTGTTTCTATGGTTACTGTTAACGCGATTGTTAGTATTGCTTTCAGTGTTTCTGATGTTTTTGATATGGTTGCTACTACTACTGCTGTTGATGTTGCTGTTGTTGTTGCTGCTGCTGTTGTTGCTGATGATGCTGTATCGTATTATCTATTTGGTACATTATTCAGCTTAACTGAACTGACTCTTTTGCTTTACAGAAAGAACCACAACAGATACTCGAACTGYGTAACGACCTACGAACAGAGTGTGAAAAATACGGCGACGTTCGCAAGGTCATGGTCTTTGATGTAAGTAATAATACATATTGGTAGTATCAGCAATTTTTGGATATCTTTTTTTTTTTTTTTTTTTTTTTGCACACAAAAATTATCATTCGGGGTAGAGGGTCACAAGTTAAACAGTTAACAAAATTACTGTCACGTTTCACCCTCATTAAATAAAGTCTTCAATCAATCAATCAAYCAATTCGCTGCTTGATGCGCAGACGCGTTTTCCCGCCAAAACTTATAGAAACTTCCGGTGTGGTAACCACGCATCAGCAAGAAAGAGAAATTTGAGAAGGTTGAAAAATTTGATTTAAAAAATCGAGAAAAGCGCTGAAGTTGTAAAGACCAGATTTTCGACCTTATATTTTTAGCTGAATTGTCAAGCCAAGTTGTCCTTTATTTTTTTTAGAGAAACCCAGAAGGGATTTGTTCAGTGGCGTTCAAAGAGCACGAGTCAACGGATGCATGTATCACGGTGAGTTGAGTGAACCTTGGAGATGAGTTATCCGATGAGATTTACTTTGGGGATCGTTGGATGCAGGGGCAGATTCAGGATTTTGTTCAGGGAGGGGTTCTGCGCACAATATTAACCCAGGGAGGGTTGCATCCCTTAGAATCAAAGGGAAAAGACAAAATTGGTTATCTTCGAAGTAGGAGCACAAAGTGTAACCAGGGAGGGGTGCGTACCCCCTGCACCCCTCCCCTGGATCCGCCCCTGGGATGCAAAGTTGGGGTAGAATTTGTTAATAGCAGTATGATAATAGATGTGAAAGTGGTGACTGGTAATGTTGGAGATGATGAGGAATATGATGTTGATGAAGATAATGATGATAGTGATGATGATGATGATGGTTATGGTGATAAATATGATAATGGTGACGATGATAAATATCATCATGAAGATGATGATGATGTTAAAAAAGATGATGTGTTTGGGACGATGATGGTGATGATGATGACGATGATGATGGTGTAGATGGTGGTGGTGATGATGATGATTATAGTTGTGATGATGATGATGATGATGATGAGAGTGATGATGGTGTAGATGGTGATGATGATGGTGATGATGGTGTAGATGGTGGTGGTGATGATGATGATGATTATAGTGGTGATGATGATGATGATGATGATAGTGATGATGGTGTAGATGGTGTAGATGGTGATGATGATGCTGCTGATGATGATGATGGTGTAGACGGTGGTGTAGATGGTGATGATGTCGAGGATGATGATGATGAATATTGATATGGTGATGATGAATACGATGATGTGTTGAGGATGCTGACTCATATTGATGAAGTCCAAACCGTGACCGTGTCTTCCCCCGTCATTTTTTCACCATCCTCTTTCTTGATCTATATTTTTCTTTATCCAGGTAATGAATGGTCGTTGGTTTGCTGGTAGGATGCTACAGGCGTCAAGATGGGACGGTATTACAAACTTTAACATACAGGAATCCGAGAAAGATCTGGAAGACAGAATGAAAAACTGGGAAAAATATTTATACGGCGAGGAAGACGAGGTATTTTCAAGTTTGTCATTTCGTACACTTCGTTCCCCTTGTCTCCTCCCCCTGTCTATTCATTTTCTGTCTGTCTGTCCTGTCTATTGATGGTTTTCAACCATTCCCAAGAGAATTACATAACAAAAGACACGGGGGCCATGTTGGAGGATATAACAAAATAATTCATTGACAATTCTTTTGTTAAGTTCCTCCAACATGGCCGCCGTGAAAACCATCAATATTGTCCTGTCTGTCTGATGTTCCTTGCTTCTGTGTTGGAGTGTCCGTCCATTCATTTTTACCATTAGAATTTCACGCTTTCAGRAAAGTTGATCCATGGAAATTTTTTCAGTTCGATTGTTTGTAGTACTTCTTGTCTGTCTTTCTGTCTTTCTGTCTGTCTATTTTTTTCTCTTTGTTATTTAAATCATTTCTAATATTTTTCAACTTTTTAGGATTATATATTTATATTTTATTAATCAATAACGACTTCCATGTAAAGAAGTTTTATACTTATGGAACTATCGTTTTTAAATAAAGGTGTGTCTGTCTGTCTATCTTTCTGTCTGTCTGTCTGCCTGTCTGTCTTTCTGCTGCTCCTCTTCATGTCTGCCTTTCAGTCTGTCTGTCTGTCACAGGGTTTTCATTAAGGGTTGAGTATCGAACAATGCATTCTCTGGACCATTAAAGAAATGCAATGTAAAATGTTCACTTAGTCCTCAGGACTCTCGTCTGCTGGTTTGTCTGTCTGTCTGCCTGTCTGTCTTTCTGCTGTTCCTCTTCATGTCTGCCTTTCAGTCTGTCTGTCTGTCTCAGGGTTTTCATTAAGGGTTGAGTATCGAACAATGCATTCTCTGGACCATTAAAGAAATGCAATGTAAAATGTTCACTTAGTCCACAGGACTCTCGTCTGCTGGTTTGTCTGTCTGCAAGTGTCTGTCTGTCTTATCTCTTCCTTTCTTGTATCCTTCAGCCCTCCAAAACTGCCTCTCCATCCACGACAACYACAACAAAGCCTTGACTCACTGACTGCTGATGGAAAAGTAGAGTATGTAGAAGGCAAGTAGAAACCCTCTCTCGACAATGTATCATAATCTCTGGTGTGGGTCTTCATTCAGTGCAACATGCCTCTGAACTTGCTGAACAGATTTTCTACGAACGTACCCATAGAATCAGAAAGTCTCCTTAGCCAATCACATGACGTAAATTCCGGCACCGTTTATCCAATCAGAACGCAGATAGACGCTACTTTCACGGCGATTCTATAGAGCAGTTTTCGTATGACCGTGAAAAGTTCACGTCACGAAAACGGTCGTGACACGGCAAGGGATACGCCAGACCAATCACATTGCAGAGAAGTTCCTCTCCATCCAATCAGATACCCAGAACATGGCATGAACACGGCGCGGACACGGTCACGCCAAGGTCACGGCAATGCCAGACCAATCACATTGCGCGTGAAGAAAATCAGCCAATTAAAATTCTAGAAAGCATCACGGTCACGGCACGCCACGCTAACGGCACTGAGCTTTTCACAGTYATGCGAAAACTGCTCTAATCGCTTCCTTGCGATGTGAATCAGATCTGAAACATCTGGCTTCTATAGGGAAGCCATTTTAGAGAAGCGTATTGTGATTTTTCGAATTGCTAACCAATTACGGAATCAAGGAAGCCATTTAAAAGTCGCGCACGACTTGATGAAGCTGTTTGGATGTCGACGAAGTAAGAATGTACTTTTTGACTGGAAAAATAAAATAAATCATTAAAATATCATAATCTGTAAACATTTCCTGTGAACATTTCCTGCAAATCTGTAACATTTCCTGAACGAAAAACATTCGAACTATAAAATCTTTTTCCTCTATACAAATATTTAAAATATTTACAAACATTTGATTATGAAATACTGCAGAATTCTTATAAGTATTACGAGTATTTTCAAACAATAAACACTTGAGCACCGTTTTTTTTACACTACCTTACAAAAATGTAAATAAACCACGTTTGACAAATCCATAATAGAAATAAGTAGTTTTACAAGAAAATAAACGGCTAAAGTGACATTATCATGCTTAGCGAAGGTTTGTGATAGCAAACAGCAAGGCGCCAATACGCTTTTAGATCGCTCAAGTGTGTTTTCCAATTTTTTCCCTGCCGTCTCAAGAGGCCCTCAATTATTTTGTCATGTCTTCTGCATTTTCGTTTTTTTTTTTTTTGTTTTTGTTTTTGTTTTTGTTCAAATACTCAGCGTTATAGATTAAATTTCAGTCTTAACTACTTGTTTTTTACCTTCCCAAAAATCTTGTTTTTCGCGTTTAAACACAAAATTTTGTAAAACATAAGTTAAAAATGCAAAATAAACTCAGAAATATTTTTTCCGATTACTTTTATTTGTTCATAATAATCTTATTTTATTCACTTTATATTTTTATTTTATCTTTTAAGCCGTACTTATAGCTTGTTAGTAAACTACACAGTTTTAGTCCAACAAAAATATTTTCAAAAATTAACACATTTTTCTGATTAGTAATCCGAAAAGAAGTAAGATTTTTTTTTTCAAGTTTACATTTTAATAACTTGCGCTTGTAATTCACAACAATAAGCTAATGTATTCCTTTCAGTAAAAATTTAATTTGCTCCAAGCAAAGCGACTTGTCTCCTTTAATATTTACTCAGTTTGTGTACTGTATATTGTGGAAGACTGGTTGTTAAGGGTTTTGGGAAAAAGAGGTCTTAAAATAAATTATGAATCACCATTTCGTGTTAGGACRTGTTATTCTTTGAGACCAAAAAAGTCATCGTTTACGCTGTTTTTCTAACACCTTTATTTTCGCCCCGAAGGAAATAATTTTTAGCTGCAAATTGAAGATAAATCAGAATAATTGTACTTTATCTTTTAATGACAGCTTATAAACGTATACGGAATTTTAGGGAATCTTTTAAGAAAATTATAGGCTTACCTCGTAATTCTATTCTTAAAGTCCTAAATATTCTGTTGCTCTAATGCCATTTCATGTCCAAAAATAATTTTCGTCCTATTTCTTTTTAAATGTGGGAAAAATATTGACCGGTACTTAGCAAAGAAGTAGGGAATTCAATTAGTAATGTTTGGCTTTTCTCTTAAGAAAGTGTAGCTCGTAAAATGATTCCATTTTTCCTCTTCTGTTTTGTCGTTCCCTTCATAGCCTCCAATTTTACCTCCCTCGGACGTCACCAAGCGAAACCCAGCATCCGTAAGTTGTGTAAAAGCTCTTTCCAGTTGGTTATATTTGAGGAAAAATCTATTCGTATATCGTAAGTGGTGAGGATTTGGATCTCGAGTTTGATTCAGAAAAGTTCCAAAAACCTCTCGGCATAAAGAAACTCGCCCACAAACAAGAATCCTTCGTAACTTTCGAAATTTGATGTCAGCTTGTCCCGAACGACCAAAGGCATAGGTCTTTCGCACGTGAACAGATATATAGCCATATTTTTCATMTAAAACAGAATTGCTATTTCCATTTGTGTATATCTCGAGCTGTCTTCTCATATCGTTCAGTTCAAAGTATTCTGCTTCGATTTTAAGCCTTTCTACTTCGTTAAAACCCTCTGGAATATGAAGYTTCAGACTTCGTAGATAATCCAAAATGTATCGAAACAAATCCCCATCGCGGTCTACAAAATATTTCCCATTTGCATCCTTATCGAGAGTGTGTTGCTTTCCCCCGAAAATTCGTCCCAAAAGCGAGCCCTTCACTCTTGTAAGAGTGAAAACAGATGTGGAATAGTACTTTCCTCCAACATTTAACTCAATATTTTCTGGGAAAAGCTTCTTGTTTTGAGGTCCTGGCGAAGCGATTGATAAAGAAGACGCTCCAGCCATCGTCGTCAAGTGAATATGATATTCAGTCACCAATCTGACAGCACTTCTCTTTCCAGTCTTTCAGTCTTTCTTCAGCTGTAAGATAAATAAATATGTAACTTAAAATGTCCAATGACAAACTATCTGTCTACGGCTATCTCCTAATTGATTTTTTTCTCTTTTAAATGTCTTTTCAAAGCAGTATAGCTTTGCGGAAAAGGCCTAAGAGGAACTTAATTCGTTTAAAGTGTTGTTCTTTGGATTATTTTTTAATCTCTCTTTTTTTTTTAAAAAAAAGGCTGATTTTCTATTTTCCTATTTCTGTGTCCAATTTTTGGGACTTGTTTTTCAAGGAAATTTATTTTCTCCGCGGGGCTCGAGGCCAACATGCATTGTTTATACGATAATTAATTCCTATCGTAAAAATAATCCATCAAACACACTAAAAAGACGGTTGAATTTGACTCTAATGGTTTTGGAAACAAGCCTTATTATATGAGTGAATAGACCGCTTTACTTTAATTGGACGTAATGTTTTCTCTATTCAGAGCTTGTGCTATTCCCTAGAGTAACATTTCTTTGTTTACGGGTGCGCATGAGAAGACATATGAATATGGATACAACTAGAACAAACAATCTTATTCTCAAGAGAACGTTTCAAAATGTTATGTAAAATGTTACGCCCGAGGTAGAGGTCGTTAAATTTTTTGACTCTTTGAATTCTGCAGACGTTTTTCCGGCTCTAAATCAGGCAAACGTCATTGGGTATTTATAAGAAACTCTTATRTTGATAAGCTCTTAAATCAAAACAGAGCTTAATGATCTTTATTGAAAGTCCGACTTCCGGGACTCTTTTGCTAAGGAGCTCGACAGCCCTATTGCCGTCACTATAGAAACCGTTACTATGGTCACCACTACCAATTTTGTAACACTGCGGTCGCTAGTAGAAACTTTAATCACCATAGTAACCTATAATCTCACAAACGCTGCGGTTGCTATGGTAATTGCTCCCGTTACTGTGGAAACCACTTTTTGACACCTACAAATCTTTTCAATCAGCATCTGTTATTTTTCGTTTTTGTTGTTGTTTTATTTTTTTTTTGTATCCGGCGATTCAATTATCTATTTTTAATTATTTTTGGAAACGTACTGTACGCGACCTTGTTTCAATAAGTTATTCACCAAAAACCGCAGCTTGGTGATGCTCACAATAGGTGAAACTGTAACTGGTAAAATATCTCAAGTCCGCCAATAGYTATCAAGTGGTTGAAGCATCCAGCTTAGCTGAGAAAAGGTTTTAGCCAATAAGAATCAAGAAAATTTGTAAAATTTTCAGGTGACTCCCGCTAAACAATAGTTAACAATTGCTAAACTAGTTTTTTGTTTGTTTTTTTTTTTTTTTCAAAACAGGAAGATCCCCCAAAAGAATTAATCTCCAGATCTAGACTTTGAGTCAAAACAAGTCTCAAATCATGATTAAAGGGAAGCACGGGTGGCATAGCAGTGTGAGCCCTCGCCTCTCATCAATGCGACCTGAGTTCGAGTCCCGCCGGGTTCGGTGTTGTATACGAGTAGAGTTGTTTGTTGGTTCTCTCCTGTGCTTCGAGGGTTTTCTGGGTTCTCCGGTTTTCCTCCCTACACAAAAATCAACTCCTAAATTCCAATTCGATCACGGAATGAGGGCTACAGGTTTGTTAGCCACTGGCTATTAAGTGCCACCCTCGTGAAGAAAGGACGTTTAATTAAAAAAGATGTTGTGATTCACAGAAAAAAGGTGATCATGTTACGGTCCACAAAAAAATCCTTTGCTCGTGTCGCATGTACACTCGCTTCAATTCTGGTTCCTAAACAGGTTTTTCTTCTTCATACCTCGTTTCAACTTGTTTCCCTCGTTGCTTKTTTCTTTTTCTGGTTCCTATACAGGTTTTTCTCAGTGTTCATACCTCGTCTCAACTTGTTTTCCTCGTTGCTTTTTTTTCTTTTTCTGGTTCCTATACAGGTTTTTCTTGTTTAAACCTCGTTTCAACTTGTTTTTCTCGTTGCTCTTTTCTTTTTCTCTTCCCTCGTTCTTTTCTTATTGTCTATTTCCTTTCCTTATCTTAATTATCGCCTTTATTTTTATTCTAATATATGTTGTCCTTCCTCTTTCCTTCCCGCCTTCATGTAATTCCAAACCTCACAGAACAAAAGATTAATTTCCATAGATGGAAAGAGGATATTAAAATTAGTGAAGCCGCGAAGATGAAAGAAGGAAGTTCAAAAACTGCAAAAGTATGAATTTTCAAAACCAAATTTCGTATAAAAACAATTCGTCGAAGGCATCTTTTGCAAAATTCACACTTTTCAAAATAGATATCTTTGCGAGTTTTGAACTTACTTCCTTAAAACCTCTCAATTTTACTACTTTCAACATGCCCTTTCCAGCTATGATTATTATTACTTTGTCTTACTAAATAAGAATTAAGCTCACCAAGAGACCAATGGTCTCTGGCGCTCATTCATTCCTTCCTATGATTGTCTATCTTCATTAAGCTACTCGTTAGCACTTGGATGAAAACACCACAATTTTTCAAAGTCCGAATAATTGAAGTATTTGAGGATAATTTGACTCRATTATGATTATGTAAACCAGATTAGAAAAGATTTTCGTCTGGAAGCCTGCTTGAAGTTGAGAAATTTTGGGTTAAAAGAGAAAAGAACGATAGGGTTGAGTAAATGACGTCATTTACT